AGGATGTAGCTGTGTCCCTGTGGGGGTCAGAGCTTGCTGCCAGGCTGCTTGTAGTGGTCATCTTCACCTGGAGCTTTTGGGAGGTGGTGCTATGGCAAAAGCATACTGGGCCACTTACTATAAGAGCAGAAAATGCCCACCCCCAGGCAGTATACTTCAGTTTCTGTTAGTTGCCCAGGTAACCTCCAGTTTAGTTCCTCTTACTTCTGTTTCTTAGGAATGGCTGGTCACTGCAATGCACAGCTGGTCACTGTGATGCATATTGTAAGAACCAATCCCAAATTGACAAGCCATTCTGCCTCTGTACTTCTCCTTTGCAACCCCATAAAAACCTCCCTGAGCCTTCGAGGTCTGATACTTTGGGAATAAATACCTATCAGCCTGTTGATGTAAATAAATTTGCAACGTAACTAAATCTGCCTCTGAATCCTGGGTGACGTTTCAGTGTTTCTGTTCACCGGTGCAGTATAACGTGGGATGCTCACGGCTCATGCTCATGGCTAACTTCACTCAGAAGTCAGCACTGTCCCTGTCTGGAGAGTGGAAGCCCATGACCGAGGTGCTGCCAGCACTGCTTGCCCCTCAGGCTTCTCTCCTGGCTGGCAGATGCCACCTCCTTGCTGCATCCTCCTCTGAGCACACATTCTGTGCTGCCTTCTCTCTGTGTCTCCACATTTCCTCTTCTTATAGGAACTCCGGCCACGCCCCTAACAGCCTCATTTAACGTGTCTTTAAGGCTCCATTTCTAAATAGACACATTTTGAGGTACCAGGGGTTAGGGCTTGAACATATGAATCTTGACGTTGCATTTTCCTTTCTTATTTGCATCAAGCCATCTTTCTTGGTATCCATTTTAGATTGAGGAGCCCCCCTCACCCCTGTAATGCAGTCCCCTTCTTGTTTAACTAAAGTCACTTTCTGTTGCCTGTCACTAGTGCTTACCCTGTGTAATGTAGACAGACATAGGTCCCCACAGGATTATGTAAATCCCACCGTATGCAATGATTTAATGTGGAAAAGTGTCATGGTCATGAACTTCTAAAGTTTGTTGAATCAAAACCTCCTTTTCATGGTGACTGGGAAGAGAGACATCAATGGCTTAAATGATTAGGAAGAACTAATGAGGCAGCCATGGCTGGAATTACTGATAACATTTTATTCTTCAGAATTTTCACTTATGAATTAATTTTGTCACCTATCTATATGACTATAATAGCTGTCTTTTCAGAAGTTATCAAATGTCACTTTACACTCTTTATAGTAGATAGAAATTCTTACTGTCTGGGCCGTAGGGAGGTGGAAAATGCAGGTGAAAGTAGAACTTGCAGTGCAGTTAATGTGCTTGTCTCCTACGGCCTCCATTTTCGTGGCAGAGTGAAAATGGCCGCCAGGACTCTACAGGCACCTCACGTCTCTATTTCAATTAACGGTCACAGTCAGACTATAGGAAGAATCTAAGTCACCCACGGAGTATGGTGATGGGAAATGAGAAAAAAAAAATCACAATGGGCACAGGAAGGCAGGGAGGCAGCACGAGTCATTGACTAGTGACGAATGAGTTTCAGTTACAACACAGCTAAGGAGAAAGGAGCAAACTGTGGAGCAGCAGTGCAATGGTGAGCAGATACACTGAAACAACACCCAGCAACTGGAGGCAGATTTACTCATGTCAACAGGCACTGACTGGGATCACTCTCAGGATATCAGGCCCCGATCTCTGGTGCTCTAGGGCTTTTATCTGATGCACAGGCAGGAGGTACAAAGGACAGCAAAGGTGAGACAGAACAGCCTGGCAGTTACTCTGATTAGTTGGCAGGGTAAGCTCATCAGTTACAAGGGTAGATTAATGATCACCAGTTCATGAAGCTTGGTACAATGGTACGATCAGGTGTCATCCATGTTCGGTTATGCTCTTGTGGTTCAGGGGTCAGGGAATTAATTACAAAGCCATGAAACAGTTACAGAGGTAGGCAGTTTCAAAAGAACAAAATTTTAAAAAGAACAATTTCTCTTCTACAGTTTTTCCCTTTCAGCAGCCATTTTTTAAGACATCAGCCAGTGAAACTTGTAGCTTTTTAAAGGAGAAGGAACAAAGATGATGTTGGGGATTAGCAAGTTAACTCAAGAAAAATCACAGGAGGGAGGAGCTGGTAATGGGTGCACATCTGAAATGACCAACTGTCAGCCCCAGCTGGAACCAGGCTGATAGAACTGACCCATTCAGTCTCAATGAGGGAAGGCTGCTGGTTTAGTAGGAATGAATCACTGGAGGTGGAGGTTGACCAGCAGTCTGCTGGGAAGCGGGCAATTAAAAATGATGTTGCAATACTAGGTGAAATCAGGTGGAATCCCTGGACCTGGAGAAGTGTGGGACAGTGACTCCCAGACACAACATGGTGATGGAGGGTCCCAGAGGATGTTCCCACAGGGTCACCTGCACGGGGCAGAGAGGACCATCAGGATGGGGCACTGTGTGGTCAGTTATACCAAATATTTAGAGTAGAGTTAATGAAAATGCTTCCCAAGCACTTCCAAAAAAATTAAGGGAGGAAACATTTCCAAAGTCATTTTACAAGACTCTGATACCAAAGTCAGGCAAGGATATCACAAGAAATCAAAATTATAGGCCAATACTCCTGCTGAACACATATGCAGCATTGACAAAAGGAGCAGGAGGAAACTGTGGGAGATGATGGACATATTTATTGCCTTTATGGTGATGATGGTTTCCCAGATGGATAGCTATGCCCAAGCTCCCTGTGATCTACACATTGAATATGTACAGGTTCTTACATCAAGCATCCTTCTGTAAAGCGATTAGAAAGGTCGATGGCTATAAATAGCATTGCTGTATTTAGAAAGAGCTTCTTCCACAGGAAAACATATCAGGACTTGAAAGTCTTTCATTTCCTCATTGGCAGCTAGGCTGCAGAGCACCACTTAATATCCTGGAATAGTTTGAAGAAAACGCATTGCAATTTCTTTCTTCCCTCTGTGTGCACACCTTTGCCAATGGCCTGACTGAACTGTGAAATTAAGTGTTTCAGATTCATTTTGTTTATAGCTGATGTTACAGCCCACCTCATCATACCATTTCCATGCACTTTAAGACATTTTTATGTATGCATATATTGTAGAATGATTAAATGAAACAAATTAACATATTCATCACCTCATTTATTTTTTTGGGGGTAAAAACATTAAGAAATTAACTTTTATACATCTAACTGCACCAGAATAGGGACTTTCTTCACAACCAAACAACTGAGCTTCGTTCTGCTCATTTGCTGGGACAAAAGCAACACCATGGGCACAAAAAGAGTTGTGGCCCCACCTCATATAACCACATGCAGAGCTTGTTCAGTCAGTGCAGCAGAAGGATGCGGTACCCCATGCTGGAAAGCAGGATAACTCTGCGGTGCAGTGGACCTCCCTAGGCGTCCCATTGTGTGTAACTAACTTTGAAAAGGAGGCGTTTCTTCATTGAGAAAATCTCCCTGCCATGCCTCTAATGGGCACACTGGCATGTTTGCTAGTTCTTCAGGTTGATACTCTTTTTTTTTTATATACTGGGACACGAATGCAGGACCTTGTGCTTGCTAGAAAGGCGTTATGCCGCTGAGTTACATCCTTGGCCCTGCTAGTCTTCATTACCACAGGGCAGCATAAAATTTTACCTCAGGCATTCTTCCTCAGACTCCTACAGCTCAGGCTTCATAACAAGTCCCACTAATATGCTTTTGGATCCGGCTGGCACCTCTGGCCCCAACTCCTGCATATCACTTACTGGCGTTACAACCTGACTGGCTCTGTCTGTCCATATTTGGAGTTTACACCGTGGTGGGTCACAGTGTGGCTCGGTGGGAGACAGTCCCTGAGAGCTTTACTTGTTAGTTTACACATCTAATTGTACCAGAATAGGGACTCTCCAGAATATTGGAACCATGGGCACCAACACCATCTCCCTTCCCTTCTTATATAGGAAGAATGTAAGTAACTCTACTAAGAGCAAACCCTTACCGAGAACACGTTAGTGCAGAGTACTTTCCATACAATTAATATCTCTCTTCATCCTCATCACTAGAAGTCAGTATTTCTAATGTTATTGTTTTTACTGGTGAAGACATTAAGCAGAAGAAATAGTAAGTGTCTCTGCCAAGATGAAGGTCATATGGTTAAAAAGTGGGGGAGCAAATGTTCAAATCCAGGAATTCCACTCTTTGGAGCTTAGAATGGACTTAATTATAAGGTCCTCATTTGACTGGACCGTGAATCCTCCCATGGCTCCCTGCTTCCTTTGTAGAATGCTACTCATTACATCTCAGGACAGCTCGTGCCTTGTGGAGTCACTAGAGCTGGTGCCTGGAAGAGCAGCGGTGTGCGGCGAGCTCATCCGAGGTCACTCAGAGTCATGGCCACTTGGCCCTAACACAGAAGGCAAGAGTGGTGATGGTCAAGAATAAGCATGACAGCGTGCGTTCAGGGTGTCCTGACTAAGCGCCCTTCATCTTCGTCAACAGGCTTCTTTTTGACAGTTGCAAGGCTCAGGACAAGACTACCTAAACACTACCTAAAAATACAGCAGAACACACTACCTAAAAATATGGCACCTTGGTATCTGAGGAAACAGCAGAAGCAGGACAGTCACTCTGGCCTTGCCCTCATCGTTCTTCTATGGAGCTGCCACCAAACACTTCTCTACATTCTACCCCAGAAAATAGGGCCTAAGACCCTCATTCCAGAGGGGTCCTGCCCTGTTAAAAGGAGTGTCCCATGGAGATACTGTACTAAAAACGAATTAGAAGCCGGAGGCCTTGCTAATTTCTCCCTCAGTTTATTGCCGTTTGTCCACACCCCCATGTCCAATTGTATTTCCGTGTGGCTGTCTTCTCTTGACTGAGCTGCAGCATAAAAACACCAGTTTACCCGGGGTATCCTCCCAACAACCCAGAAGGCCATGCTTGGATTCTGAGTTCCGGGGTTTCCTTGTAGGGCTGGGGAGATGCAGAGCAAGGTGGCCCAGCACAATCACCCTGGCAGCACTGCCACATGTCCCTTGACCGTCCCATGACCGTTCCCATGTCCTTCAGTACCTACCAACAGCCACTTCTCGGCTCTCCTGGGAAGCGGGGACAGTCACACCCAGAGCACGGTCAACGCTCAGGAGGAGGAATGCAGCAACGCGGCTGGCAGAGACTCTAGAAGTAGGTCCTGGTCATACAGGGCAGGGGTCCAGGCGGTGAGTTCCCAGAATCAGTGCAGGAAGCAGGGACATGGGCTTCAACAGCCACATCCCTGGCCCCTCACCTACCTCAGGGTCTTCACCGCCTGGGAAGCGCCAGAGTCTTCAGCTGCGTAGGGAGTCAGGACTCGTGCATGTTTAACTTAGGACTTGAGACCCCACCAGAACCCTGAAATAACACCGTGGTTGCCTTTACAGATGAGGGCTGCACACTTGCTCACTGATGTTCTTTGGTGGGGGACGTCTGCCTCAGAGCCCAGACCCTATCGTGCTGCTAAAACTCAAGGGAAGGGAACATCACCTCCTTCCAATCAGTTCATCTCCTGCAGGCATCTGAATGAAATAAACGTGATTTCCCTCTCAAAGCTCAGTGTCTTAAGTTTAAAGAAGCAAGGGCCCATAAGGAATGACCATATTTAGGTTTAAAAATGTTTGGCAAGTGTCGCATTATTTAAAGATCCACCACAAACATCTCGAAATTAAGATGTTTCTTCAGGACAGCAATTTACTGTCAACATCTGCACAACAGCCAGGGCTGCTTTGGGTGCTGTGAGAGGTGTACTCACTCCACGGACTTGGGCTGGGCATGTCTTCTTTTGAAGGTGGTGAATCAAGTAGATTAGAGACCACATGCTTGGCCTTTCTTGGAGATAAAACCAGAGGCCAGCCTGCTCTGGTTCTGTGAAAGAATTGGTGTCACTCACCAGAGACCTTACAAAGGATGCCTGGTAGCACCACAACCTGGAGAACCCAAGGCCAAACTGCTTTAGCTCAACACAGAGAATATGCATCTCAGACATGTTTTCAAGCCGTATTGGAGAAGCACCTCTGCTGTCTCATTGCACAGAGCAAATTGCTGGCACACACAGACCATCTGTCCTTCCCAGGAGACAGAATCTCCACTTATGGACATGAGTTTTGGACAAGATTTTTAGCTGTTGACAACAGCTACAAACACTTGCATGAAGCAGGACCTCTCACTGGCATCATTAAGGGGCAGCAGCATGGGGAATTTGTCAGGACATGGGAATCAGCAATATTTAGCTTAAAGGTGTCTTTAAAACTTTGTGAGCAGTTAGTCATTATGTAAAGAGTAATACGTGTACATTTTGCTAACTACTCACAGTAGCTTACAAGTAATAGCAAAACAATCCTTCCATTCTAATTTACATCCGCTTATAAAGATGATATTTTTTAAAATTTTGAGGCAATTTTCACATTTTTTTTTTTTGCTATGGAATTGCTTCTACAATTGATCTTAGCCAAAAGCTGAGAAGCAATGAATCACTTCTTAATTTAATTAGATACGGTAAAAAGGATTTCTTTTTTATAACAAAGAATGGATTACATCTTTTAAATGTGCAAACAATTTCATAGCAAGTTGCTCAAAGTGTCTAAATAACAATAGTGATAGGAGATAGATACAATCTTATTATTTTATCATTGAGAAAATGCAAACTGAGTGAATTTATATCTTTTGCACTTTCAAATCTAACATTCTGAAAAAAAAAAAAAAACCCAAAAAGCAACTGGTTTAGTTTGGGTGGTGTGAGCTGAAGTCTAAAGCAGAAGAGTTAATTCCATGGCACGGCTTCCCACTCATGGGTGGAACACAGGAAACCTTCTTAAGAATCCACACCGCACACAGTTGCTAGAAAGCTGCAAGAGAGGGAAGGCTGTCTCGCCTTGGCCTTGGCCTCTCGGAAGTGGGCCATGAAGCTGCCGAGGAAAGTCATCACTGACTCTCTCCTGTGACAGGTGTCCTGGCCTGCACTGGGGGAAGAAATGCCATGCAGTATGGTGAGAAGGAGCTGAACAAACAGGCCCTTGTGTCCTCTCCCTTTGTTGATTAGCTTTTGCTCCAGCAGACATATCTCTGCACATCCGTCCACAAACATTGATTTCCTTGTTTCTGGTTGTGTTCATTTCCTCAGAAAGGCTTTTGCAGCATGTAAACTTCTGTCGCTCATCTGTTTTTTTGTCTTGGAGGCCTCAGCCATGACTCTTGCAAAGGGTGAGGAAAAGAGGTGATTTTCTTTCTCTGACAGCGAGTCGTGGTTGTTTTCAAAGCAGAGTCAGAAGCTGAACAAAATTCAGGCTCTGGGTATAAGGGCTTTGCTTGCAGCTGCTGCTGGTCCTGGGTGAGTGTGCTGGAAGCACCTGCTTCCCCTGATGCTGTGGCAGCGCTCCTGAATGGGGTACAGAGCGGCAACACAGGCGCCAGCCTGGGGAAAAACTGCCTTCATGTCCGTAAATTTGTATGATGTTATTATCAACAGAGTCCAGGTCTCTCCCACTATAGATAAAACAACACTGCACACTCACCTTTCTGTTCATTTCTTCTTCTTCAAGTATTTATGTAGTGCTCACGTGGCAAGCCCTTTTGAGTTCCAGGGAGCTGATGTGTCTATGCCTCTAGGAATGTGGGTCCCACTGGGGAGAGGAATGTTGGCCCCTCAACAGATGGCTGTGTGCTGGGAACTGTCAGAACTCATTTGGAAAAAGTGTCGTCCTGGGCTATCCACATGGGTCCAATGACAGGTGTCCTGTAAGAGACACAGAATGGAGACGTGAGGAGAGACCACAGCTATGTGACTGTTCGAGGCCGAGACTGTCACATAGTCTAGACCGAGGAACGCCTATTGCCACCAGAGGCTGGACAGGCAATGGAGGGCTCCACTGCGGGCTGTGGAGAGACAGGTTTTGCTTCCCTGGGCTCCAGACTTCTGTTCTGAGCCACTTAGTTCATGACAATCTGTTGCTGGAGGTTGAGGGAGGTACAAGGGATACAGAAGATAAAGTGTGATAAATATTTCTGAAGAAAACAACCTTTTTCCTCCAAATCTCCAAAGTTCTCATAAAAGACAGTAACCCAACTGATTGGAAGGATATGCTAAGGCACAGTCATTTCTTAGTTCAGATTCTTTCCTTAGGCAGCAGCTCTCGGGCTCTGGCACAGTGGGTGGGAGTGTGCAGGACATATACTATTTACCTTTTTTCTTGCATTGAACACAGTAGCTTCATATTGGCCCCCAAACCTCCATTTATTTTACCAATAAATGTTTTCATAAATCATGTACAGATATGCTTTTCATAGGCAGAAAATATAAAAGTTCCTTTTAGATTTCACATAAATTCATATTTCTCTTAAAAAACTGTCTGCTTAACTTTTTTTACATTTTCCTAATACTGTATGTTATAGACACCTGTCTTTATTTTTTCTTATGTTTGTTTTTCATTCTTTTTTACTATAATGAGAAGAAAATACCAATAATATAATAATAACAACATAGACAAAAACAAAACAAAGCAAAAGCAATAAAAATGATACAGGGTTTCAAAACAAAATGATAGGAATTAACGGTGGTTGTTATATTACATATTGTTATCTTCAACGATGTTGCTCAGACTACCAGATGTAAGAATGCAGGTTGATCAAACCATTAAAGAGAATAAAAAATAATAAAAAAACATTAGAAACAATACAGAGCTTCACCAAACAAGACGGTAAAATTCACCAGTGGTTGTTATATTGCATAGTGTTATCTTCAAATTAGTTGTTCAGATTACCAGATATAAGCATGCAAAATTGGTTAGAAAAAAATTTTAAGCAGTAACTTCTTTCAATAAACCATTAGACATCAGCAGTACAATTATCCCAGCTATCCTTCTATATACACATACATATACATATATTTTTTTGTTTTTCCTCTTCCTTTTTTTTTCATTTCTCCTTTCCCTCATCCCAGTTGTTCCTTCCTTTGAGTAATTTCTTTCCCTTTCATAATATCTATTGTACCTTTTGGTTTTTATTTACTCTTTCAGGTTCTTGCACTAGGGAGACAAAATGATGTTTACACATACGGGTCCAATTTATTTCACTTATGGGTGTGGTCTTAGTTGCATCCATTTACCTATAAAAACCTCAAGTTTATCTTTTTTATAGCTGAGTAATACTCCATTGTATAAAAATACCACAACATTTTTTT